AAATTATCAAATTATTGCTTTAAAATTGTTTCTTATTCCAAAATTTTAAAAAAGTCGAGTCAGATTGAGCCAAAGAATGATCTCCTTTTCGGTTTTCATCAGCATAAACAGTCATTTAAAATAAGATATTTTGTAAAATAGCGGACAATATATATCATTTTTAAATTAACATGTAAAAAACAAACAAAAAGTAACTACAGGTTAGTCGTGTGCGTTTTTAACGGTCACTCTCAAAATTCATTTGTGGTTTTACGAAGATTAAAAAAAAGTGTGAAAAGTGTTGATAAAAGGACAATCGAACTTACTTGTGGAGTATCTTGGATCAGGGTTGGCGCTGTACCACCCTGTTGCTGCTGCACTATTCCGCATGCTTTCCTGGTACGACGGAAGATCTCCCATGTTGCCAATGCTTCCATTGCAGTATCCTCCCATTGCGCTGTGGGAGAACTGGGAGACGCTGTGCGGCATGTGGTAAGTGGTGGCCACCGTGGCGTTATGGCCCATGGAGTGCTGTTGCATGCCGGTCTGAGACACCTGAGGCTGTCGGTAGGCTCCCAGTGGAGAGGTTAGGTTCCCTGCGCCGTCCATGCCACTGAACTTCTTGTAGGTCTCCTCGATTGGACTCAAAATATCTGTCACTGAAAAAGGCGTTGTGTGCTTTGGGCTCAACGACATGATTCAGAAAGCAGGTAGATTTTTGTGTTTGAGCAGATCAACCGTGTTGTTGTATCGGCTCTCTCCTTGGTGGATGTCTACGTAAGAGAGTGCTTGTAGTGCGCCTGAGATCCTATTGATCGCCTTAGAGAAGGAGGCGAGCCCAGGGCGCTCTTAGCCCGGGTTTATTGGAGCCAGGAGCCAGGTTTACGACAAACACAGGGGGCGGAGCAAAACTCCTAAACCAGCAAACAATAGTCATTGACATTTTAGGGAAATAATTCATGAAAACACACTTTGCTTTGTATTAACTTGTATACGCGAATAAAACTACGACACATACTCACGATTCTGTGTTTGCAGCAGCTACATACAGGTGAGAATATCCCATTATGTTCCGCACATCAGCTGATCTGACCACATATGACTATTTTGCGTCAGTAGGGAATTCCACTCTTTCTAGAAACTTTGAGAGCACTTTGAACAGACATAAGGGCCACCGAGTATCATCAAAGAGTCACAATGAAGTTGTATGACCAGCTCGTTTATGCTTCTTGAGCATCATTTTACCCCAGCGAAGAGGAACAAGTCCAAATAAGCTCAAAAAGAAAAAAAGAAAAGAAAGAAAAATATGTTGAAAAAAGCAGTATGGGTCCAAAACTCTTTGCCATTACACAGCACTCACACAGCAAAAGACATAAACGAATTTGTAAATTATATTTTTCCGAAACTAATCATACAGCATCCGACTCCATATAACCTAATTTAGGATCAAAAGGGAGGAAATTACTTTTTTTTCCTTTTTTTTTTTACCTATACTTCTTAGGCATCTACAATTATATTAGACTTGGTGCACTATTTTAAGCCTCAAACCCTCGAGTCTGGTCAACATGCATTAACGACACTTTGCAGTCTTGACCTGACATTGTAATCGCTGAGCAAACTGACTGGCGCCAGGGGAAGAATAAGAGGAAGAGAAACAAAACAAGAGGGTCAAATGAGAAAAGAGCCGCTAGAAACGGCGAACAGTGTTAATAAAAACTTCTCAATTTGTCATTTATTTCTAAACTGATTTATGACGCCTATATCTGATAATAAAGACTTGCCGCTACAATTCCTCTTGGAAAATATGTTTTCATAACAATGATAATGTTTCCTCTGAATTTTTTTTAACTTTATCATCACCATAATACTGCAGACAACAATGGGAACAGGTGCTCTGCTCGGAGGTTATTTTCCAGACGTGAAATGTGTCGCTGTCTTCATTATTGTAGGAAGGAACCACTCGTCTGCATGAAGCCACTAATGTAATTTGCCATGGCATGGCAGCAAGTAGCTACCTACCCTAATTGAGTAAATGAAGATGTGACATGGTCAGCCATCAATTATAGAGAAATATCAAGAACAGCAATCTCCGGTTAAGTTGATAGGCTGATTGTAATCATTCATTTTTTCCTATGCATATTTCAGAAGCCGGATTTCTTATTTTTCTTTCCCCCCAGATGCCCGCACTCCGCGGCGGATTTAATGTGAAGTGGCTGGGCTTTATTGTTCTTCAGGAAAACAAAACAGTGCGTGCTTTTTCCAAAGTCAGCTGGAGTTGTCAGAAAGACACTGAAGACAAAAAGAAAAGAAAAAATGGCGTTTGAAAAGAATGCGGTCTAACCTGTGTAAAATAAAGAATCTCCCGAAAAGCTATTTCTATTAGAACATAAATTAGGGTAAATTAGCCTTTTTTAGAGTAATATTTCCTACCTGAAAATACACCTATGCTTGTCCAGACGTCTGTGAGCCTTTTCCACTCTTTTGGGAACAGCAGCATGGTGTCTTTTCAAGTAGAAAAGAAAAGTAGGCCTCGGCCCAGACCTCTAACATTATGTAAATGAGGCAAACCTCTCAACCTTGTGGATTACTGAGTCAGAGAGCAGGACCCCGGTCCACAAACCCTCCACATTAGGATCCCATAAAAATGTGGAGCTGGTTGGCTGCATGCAACTCTTATAGGCGCTTATAGTTCATATTTATATAGTTTTCAGTCCTAGTTAACTTTTACATCCTGTGGAGATGATGCGGAAAATGCAACCGGAGCCATATAAAGGAACGCGCCGGGACTCGTGAAGAAGGCCCACCCAAGGTTGGTTCACAAATCTAAGACGAACAAAGAGAAAAAGATTTAAAATATTCTCCACTTTTCAAACTATGTTTAGCAATAATTTTTGTCTCGTGCTTAGTTTCGCTTGTCTGCTTAGTCAAGCAAACGGGTACGATGCGTTCTGAAAAACATCGGGGAATTATTCATATAAATTAGCCCACATTGATTCTTTCCATCACAAGAAATACAATCAATAAATTGTTGGCACTATGGCGAAGAATACTGCTTTTTTATTCCCAAAATTCCAAATGGGAAGCTAGTTAGTGTCTATGGAATACATTTTTCCTTAAAGAAGACGTTAAGCTTTCTCACTAAGTCACAGAGCAAATCCGTTCACATGCTTCTGTGACTTTATTCCTGAAGACAAACAGAAGTATGTTACATAATATTCTATAGGCATCAGCGTGCTTGCCACCAGGGACTAAATGATCTCTTAAATTGTGTTCATTAACGATAGAGATTACTGGCGCAAACCGCGGTGTTCAGATAAACAGCGGCGACTTTCTATAACAACATTCTAACCAATTTTCTCTCTATATCTACGCTTTTATCGGAACATTTAAGTGTTGTTAACGAGAACCTAATAACAACCCATTTATGTAGTTTGTATCCTACAGATAGCCTTTTGCTCAATACCTTCGCCTCCATCAGCTCAGCACAGCAGATGGATTCAAGCGCCTGGTTACTGAAGTGCTTTTCTCCATCTCTTCGATGCTAGTTCAATACCCTGAGAGATGTGGAGAGATGGCTAGAGGGCCAGGGTCCTGACCTGTCACCTCAACCACGCACTGGCCGAGCACAAAGTGCAGAAAACACGAAAACGATTTCGTCTTGCAGCTCCCACAACCCCTCACATTTCCCACTTCTATCTGTAAAATAATACGAGTGAAATTAATCACACTAAAAGTGGTTTCCAGTTTCTCTTACTTCTCATCTTCTTCTTTGTTTGGATGATTTTTGAAAAGTGGAAACAAACGTGTGCCGTTATTGTAATGTTATCTAAGCTACGGGAATCATTTATCTGGGTAAATTTTTCTGTGCGTAATTTACGCGCGAACCGTGAATCTCTCTTTCGATTGTCTGGGACATCTTCCTTAGATTTCTAGTGTTTTCGTTTAGATTTCGTTGTGAGTACACCGGCCTCTAGTTAAAAGAAAACAGCTTCTTGGGTATGTTAAGAAAAAGGTGGATTTGCAAAACGACGCATTTTGGTGTGGCGAGTTTACAAAGAAGAAGAAGAAGAAGAAGAAGAAGAAGGAAAACCTGAAAATACACACCGAACCTTGTAGACTGGGATCCTTATTTTTAAATTTAAGTTCAAACATATTCTAACGGAAAAGAAGCCAGGGATTTATAAATTCATGTCAGGGTTTGTCAACGAAAAGAAAAAGAAGAAAGCAGCAAGTATTCTTTAACAGTCAAACAACACCACGATATTTATTACATCTGTAAATTGAAGGATACTGGAGGGAGGTGGGAGATCTTATGTACAGCTTTTCTTCCAGATTACTGATATTTGTATTTGGACATTCGTGCGCATGGAATCAAAAAGAGCATGGCGCAAAATAAACACAAATACTGGTATTAAACGCACCAGTCTTACAACAACTCTAATCAGTTTTTCTTCATGTAAAGCGCATCTCTATACTGCCCGGCCCAGAGGGTGAATTTTTGCTGAGATTTGTGGAGGAAATTCCACACCTGCAGTCAGTGTAGTACCATTTAGATCAAATACTTTCTCTCCTCTTAAATCGCAGAGCAGTGTGAGAGTAAAAAGCGGGCAGGTGCATATCTTTCAGCTGCACTACTTGAAACGGTCCGGTTCCTCAGCTAAGTAGGTTAAAGGTCCTCCCAAGTGGAGAAAGTATGTGACAGACCTCTTGAAGACCGTATTCTTCTGCAGGAGTTTGCATTCATTCACAATTAATGTCGCTTGATGGACGAAATGATGCTAATAGGGTGCCAAAAACAGAATATGGGCTTTAATGGGCACTGACCATAATCTGACAGCTGTGGAAAATGGAGGAAAGAAGAATTTAACATACTGTAATAGGATTAACGTTTAGAAGTTATTCTTAAAGTATTACAATACAGCTTTTCGTTAAGTTGATAAAGTTGCAGTAAAGGCCAATCAGACTGGATTATGTGCTGCAGCTGGGAGATAACAGCATGTGGGATATGTAGCTATGCTGGTGGTAGAAAACTGAATGTTCCTTCTTGTTTTTGGAAGCAAATTAAGATACTGAATAGTGTTAAATTCTTTTCTATGTTGCCTGAAAGAGGACATATTCTTTTAATTTCCATGCCATAGAACCCCCCCCCCCCCAAACAAAAAAACCCAAACAGTTTCTTTCTGCTTTCTTACAAAAACGTTAAACTCTTCTAATATCACATCAATGTAATAAAATCATTAATGTGAGTGGAAAGTTAAGTCAAAGATGTGTTGAGCACACCATTTCACTCAAGAACACTCATTGCAAAAAATTTACCTTCACATCAGTGAGATATTGTTGGCACAATTTTTTTAATTATTGAACCATATGCTAAACTAATCAGATAGGAAATTAAAAGTAGTATAAAAATTGTACCTTGTAGTACACATTTATGACAACAAGTGATTGTGATTCCAGTTTTCAAACTGAAGCTGAAGACTAGCAAGGCATATAACAACCTTAATTGCAAAGCGTGGACAGGCTGTCAGTGATCCATTAATCATGTCATGATGAGTTTTAAAGAATGACTGGTGAGATTAACTTTATAGATCAGATTTTTATGCATATAATTTATACACACATGACTTAATAAATCCTGTATCTGTAACTATGACCAGTCACTTTATTTGAGATTTGAAAAACAAAACAACAATAACAACAACAACAAAGGAAAAAGAGACAACAAATTGTGCCCTTCCATGTTTGAAACTGATTTAGCTCCCTGAAATTTTAGGTCCTCCGAGTTCTGTGAGTGCCACTGTCCTCTGCACTGTTTTGAGTGGCGATATTTTAGCATAGCTGCTCTCTTTTGTAGCAACAATTAAAAACCACAGCAGCAGATCAGTGCAGACTACCAAATGCATGGCAGAACAAAGCAGATAGTGTACTTGGACTGGGTGCTTGGTTCCAAGGGTACCTGGTTCGTCCACTTCTCTGCTGCATTAATTGTGGCAGCAGTAAGGGCAGGTAAACAAAGCTGTTAGAGAGTATAGTTGTGACTCAACCGTGGCTCACTCTGGATTTGTCACCCAGTTACTCATATGGCAAAATGGATCTGCCAGTCCTTCTCCTGTATCTGGTTGCCCTTGCATTCAATTATTGTGATAAGATGAAATCTGTTTGATGTCCTGAAATGTAATTTTGTAGTTTAATTTGAAGTGGATCCCCATTTTACTTGTTTTACATAACAATATTTAGACATAGTTCAAGTACTGAGGATTCTTAGAATTATAAGGTAGAAGATAATTTTTTGGATTTTTGGCATTTTCCAGTGACATGTAAGTGTTTGCAATGTTCTGCTTTGACTTTTCTTTTCCATTTTCATTTTCTAGAGCCAAATTTGCATTTTTTTGTTCTTAATAAATCAAGAGGCTGTTCAGATTTACAATCATGTCTGCTTTAGTCATTACAGGCTGCATAAAGTTAAAATAATAAAATAATTTAGATAATTTTTGGATTTTGGAAGAAGCTTCAAAACATTGTTTAAACATTTAAGTGCACTTCTTCTCCCCCCCCCCCCCAAAAAAAGAAAGCTTTGTTAATGTAGAAACAGTATAAAGTTAGATATATAAATATATTTTACCTCTGAATAAAAAAAGTGCCGTAAAATAAATAATAATAATAATAATAATGATCAAACATGGTTTTGCACCTGAAATGCATGCAAATAGCTGCAATTTGCATCAAGTGTTTCCTGATGTCCATTTATGCCAGGAATTCATTTATTCGGCTTATTTTCACATTAACAGTCAAGAGATGTATCTTCTAATCAAAAGTTTGAAAACACTTTGAGAGCTGAACGTGGAGACGGAAACTTTTTAAATGGCCTCACAACTCAACAATGGAAATGTGAGCAGAAGCTGCATATCAATGTGGCATTTTTACCTGTCTGTTTGTCCCCACTTTGGGATGCTTTTATCCAGTAGGCCACCTGACAGCCTACCATTATTTAGATGAATCCACATAAACACGTCGCAAAACTACTTCAAATTGTGAATGTATTGATCCTGACAGTTACAAGAATGCACCATGTGCTGCAATTTAAAATATGAAG